TAATATAATAATTCATGTATTATAATTGTATATTATGTTAAATGGCGACGAAATACCGAGCCAGGTGCAGTTTCCCATATTTTTGCTACCTTCTGAAACGTTTTTAGGTTTACTTGTAGGCTTACATTTTATATTTATCGATTACATTATAAAATTGATGTTCAAGTGATAAATATTTAAGCTTTAGATACTTAAATCTTAGCGCCTTTAACTTTATTCAATAGGTAACGAACTTAGCGCTGTTCTCAGTTGCCTACTCTATCACTGGCTTCGTTTCAAGAGACGTTAGTACAAAGAAGACACTTCAGCTGTTTCAATCCGCTCGATTCGTTTTCTATATCCGGAACCTGCAGGTCTTTATCGTCTGCCAAAAACATACAATAATAACACTTAGTTGTTAATGTTACTTAGTTACTAATGAACAATACGGAAGGATGGTTTCCTTAATTAACTCGGAAAATAAGTTGCAATGTAAGTAAGCTTTAAATTGTTTCAACTTCCTGCCAAGTGAGTTCGACAAATAGTGTAACATGTATACTTAGCTGTTTCAGATAATTTTTGCTTTGTTTTATTATCGGACGCCAGTTTGAAGAGTGCAGAGACCTGCTTCTTAATATATATATATTATTTTATAATGAATACACTTACGACAAGTCAATTTTCGGTCGGCAAAGCTTGCAGCATGGACATACGCTACAGGTACAGATATTTTAAGCTTTTATCAAACTACGAGATAACAAATCATAATTACGAGGTCGAGCGCACCTCACGGCTCTTGTAGCACCGTTCCAAGGGTCTGAAAGCTGGATACGATGAGCAGTTTCAGACGAATGTTTAGCTAAAGAAAAAAAGGCTAGGCCTTCATCAGACGAGTAAGAGTCATAAGCAGGAATTCTTGGGTGTCTAGAACAACAATAATAATTGCTATAAAAAACGCAAGGACTTTGCATACAACTGTTTTTCGACGTTTTACCGAAACTTTACAACTGCTAGATGCGTCTTATGTTGATTTAATGGGCTTTAGCCCCTTCATCAGAGATCATAACACGTTTGGTCCTTTGCGCTTTGGCTATCCCAGTCATGAACGGACAATTCGTTGCCAGCGTATGCATAGTAAACGTCGTCTAAATTTTACTCATATCAAACCATCTATTTATCAATGAAAAAGGGTGTTTTCTTCTTTTCATTATTATTACTATACTACTACTACTACTACTACTACTACTATATTACACACTTATATCAACACATAGGATCATTGAAAAGTCCTTGGATTGCACTTCCATGCAGCGTTATTATCAATCAGTCCACTCGTAGTTTCTGATAACGATTGGTAAAGGGCATCATTTCATATTCGAATATGACGAAACTTAGCAACAATAGATATGTGAATTTATCTGTAGTGATTTGTTTTCTTCATAAGGCTGAAGGGACCTTTAAGATTTGACAATCATAGCCCTTCGTGTGAGCTCCTCCGCTGCAAATCGTGCTTTTCAGCATTAGACGAATCGCCTTAGGCAACGAGGGAACGTGTTTCTATTCTACTCTAGCCACTGTTACCGTTGCTATAGTTCTTCCTCTAACGGATTGGCAACGGACCAATTTGTGATCGACACATCTCCGGTTCCATGATTAATAAATATATCGTATACAACAAAGGATCCAACTATAGTCTTCAGAGATTCGTACCAGCCATCTCGACGACCGCCCATGTGGCTGGGTGTATTGATACGACTACTACTAATGGACTGGAGTAAGATAAAAAAAAAGAAGAATGAAATGAACTGGATGATCAGAACTCTGTGCCAGGAATATTAGGTATTTTATTAAGTTTGTATACTCACTGTCTATTCCGATCTGAACATTTAGTTGTTTTAAGGCTTAAGTAAGCTTTAAGGCGTTCGCAAATCTTTGACGGACGCTCTCGGATTATTGGGTCGTCATAAATATAATAACCTATATTTTCCTAGATAAACAGCTTTAATGTCACATAGTTTAGCTGATGTCGACTCGGTGTTGGTACCGTTTGAAAAAAAAAGCTGAGTTTTGACGGTGCTAAAATTGCTTAAATGCTATTATTAAAATTTAACATATAAGCGAAATTACCACGAAAATTCATTACATTACGGTAAACACAAGTGCCGCCTATATCCGTCTATAGTTAAATGCCTCGTCAAAACAAACGACCCAAAGATTGCGCTGTTACTTTCGTCCTGGAGATTTTGGGGACGCGAAAGGGGCTTTTGGTAGTGGTCGACCAACTACGAAAAAAGCCCATGAAATTATTGCAAAAGTTGAATAAGACAGACACGTGAGTGGTCATAATTTCAGCTTCCTTCCTCTCATAATTCACATGCCACCAAACAAAGTTGAACCATTTGAAAAACTGGCTAGAAAAAAATCAGCGACAACAAACAAAACAAGTTGGTCGTATTTCCATCTACGAATTTCTACAAAGATTCAACGAAAGCAAATAATCACGGGGTGATCGCAAATGTATTACATACGAGAACAATCTACAAATGGTAAAATACAAAGATATACTCTACAATGCGTGGGAAAGCCCAGACTGATGCCAAGGAAGGTGCCATTTGTCTGGTGGGAGTGGAAAAGAATATCTTTCCCGGGTTGTCAAATGGTCGCAACGATAATTTGGAACTCTTCGATCCATAATCAACAGCGTTACAGCACGCCATCAAAAAACTCGACCGGATCTCAGGAGCAGAAAAAGTGTTGTCTTTTACCATAACAATGATAGACGACCACACGTGTCCTTAGTTACTCGGCAAAAAAAATGCAGCAACTTGAATAAGCAATCATAGTTCACCAGCCGTATAACCCAGATCTTGCACCATCGAACTATCACCTGTTTCGGTCTCTGCAGAACTTTCTTAATTGATTTAAGCTAGTTTCGATGGAGGGGGCAGCAAAAGTCACTTGCTACTGAAGAACATTTTCGGATTCTAGGAATATAGCACAGGCTCATTAGCACTAGATCTCATTTGTGTTCTGAATGTAGTTGCTAATATTTATATTAATTGTCCCTTAATCAGACGCGCAGCCTACCTCATTTCACCGTTATTGGCAGAATGGTGAAGATCGCCAAATACGTGTTTCGGCCTAACTTAACAAGATTCCACTAAAAACCGCGCTTGTAAATTGTTCTGCCATTTGAAATGAGGACTTGTGGGTAGCCAAGATGGACTAACGTATATTCTAACGTTTTGCATATGTTTAAAAAATTATTGCATTGAACGGGGTCGCCTATACTCAACTTGTGAATGCGTGAACAGTGGTTAAACTCTGCTTTTTTTAGCCAAGGACCAATTAAATCGAAACAGGTCATTTTTTTTCTTAAGCTTTATTTGAGAATTTCTATAGATCGATTTATTACTTTTAAGGATTCGCCGTATATCGCAGGACATGCAGCCAGAGGTTATTTCCGAAATATTTTTACTTACATCAGGCCTCGAAGCATAGCTTCCGCAAAGAGCTTCTGCTCATGCGATTTCAAAATCGTCACTGTGTAAATATCTTAGTGCATATTAGCGTAGCTTTCACAGGATAAAAGACCATTACCACGCAATGACTGCAAGACGCATAACTTACTAATCAACATAGTTTTCCGCAATTTATTTACTCTAGTTCTTAAATAATTGTTATCCTAATACAGTTTGACGATTCCAAATATTGTGCAGTAACGATTCTTTATTTATAGAATTAGTAAATTACCTGAAAGTGAACAACCAACAGACTAGATTTATTTTTATGTAGACCTGAGTACGAAAGAGGACGTAAGTCTGATTATTTTATTATTTATGAGAAAATATGTAACCATGGGTGTACGACAAACCAATCATGTAAAAGCAATAAACGAAGTTGTATACTTGGATTGTTGTTTTGATTCGATTACGGTGATTCACAAAGAGCTCAGCTAAGACCTATTCGCTGTTGGAGTGCTCTCCTGAGGGTTCACATACTACATGCTGTAGAAACAAGTTTGATAAGCAAAGCACTGCGAATCCAGATGCGTCATTGGCTTAGACTGGGGGCTTGATAGAAACATGCTCAAACAATTAGCAGCTGCGGCAGGAACTGTACCTCTTTTTAGGCTGAATACGATACTAAATGATCATGTGCATTAAACGGAACGCAGAACTTTCATTGCAAGCTAAGGTCCGTGGGTTACTCCGTCAGGTAATAGTTTGTCGATGTATCCTATAAAATAAAACCTTTCATCACGAAGTAAATAAATTTTCTTCCCGCTGTATCTGAAGATGACCTAATAGTAACACAGTCATGTAATGCCTTGCCAGGTCCTAGAAGCACCTACTTTTAGAATACGGAGACCTTTTAATGTTAGTTATTCAGACTGAGGTAGTTGGATCCGCTTCATGTCATGCTGGTGGCAATCCGTGGTGGGGCGATGTGGGACAGCAGCATCGATCGTTAAACTCTGAAACATTTGCTGATGAAGTTGTGTAATTACAATGTTCGCCCAATGTTTACGATGCTACCGCAACCACTTAGGAATTGAATTGCAAAACCATTTCTAGAAAAAATTTTTGGACTTCCTACAAGGTTGGTCTTCACGAACAGCGTCATTACCCTCAGACTTTTGAAATTTATAAAATAGCACAGCAATTAAGTAGAGTTCGATTATTACATCATTAATTACTTAAGGCTCTTCTACCACCATCTTTCCCAATGTTCTAGACTCTAGTTTTAGCTTCCTCAGCAATTGATTTAGACAGCCAATGGACAACAAAAATACGGACTGCCTGGTAAAATTACTGGCCTCGGTGAGCTCTGTCCATTTAAAAAAAAACATAGTCTCTATTTATATAAGAAAAAAACTGTTTAATAAACGATTGCTTCTTTCTAAAGTAATCTAATGGTATGCCAGTAAGTCGGGGTTCATTTGGCAATTTTAACACGTCCACAAGCTCACAAATCACAACGAACAGCTGAATTGAAGGGTGAAATTGCCTATTTCTCAGTTCAGAGGCAAGCCAAGTATTCTTTACATAAAATAAGTAATAAAAATCTGTTCTATCCGCTTAAAATAAAACACGTTTGTTCACAGATTTTTTAATGCTGCCTCACCATAAACATCGCATAATACAAAACTTCTGTTCTATTATCATGTACTATGTGGAGCGATCGGTTTTTGAACAGCGCCTCCAAGTACTGCCATTGAGCCGGCTGAGTTACCACCGCACGCGTATGCAGAAAAATTTACAGTAGAGATATATCAAATTAGATCAAAGCAAGTCTCGTTCATTTTCGTCACAGCGGTTGCTTTTCGAAAGTTCGAGCTCAGTACTAATTGCACCTTAATTTTGCTAAGATCATCCGATACAAGAGGCGTACAAAATAAAAAAACAATACATACACACACATATATTTGGTAACATGAGTTAGTAATAACTGCATCTGTGGTCGAAATTTTCTTAGAAAGAGACGTCAGTACGACCTGATTTGCCTCTCGAGCTCTTCGCATGCGTGTTGCTGAAATACAAGACAAATTTTCACATACATTTTTTAATGCTGTTTTACCAAGGCAAATTGACGGCACGCTACGCTGCCAACAAACAATTGGTAGTATTACCTTAGCAGAATTGTTAAAGAAACACACTCTGTCATACATCATAAATTTCGTTGTGCCTGAGTACAATTTATTCCCCTTAATATCTTATCACATATTCAAATCGAACGATCCGATCTGTTATGCGGCTCTACGTCACCTACTCGCGGTCTAAATTCCGATCCCTACAGAGATATGAACTGGGTACATGTGGGCCACCAGACTAAACAGGCAGCTATTGTAAGGAATCATGTTCCTATTATGGATACGTTTTCAGGGGATCGCCACCCGAAAGCCTTACTTTGTGTTCTAGAATACTGATTATGTCAGCAAGAGCAAGGCCTCTCCCACTTACGGAAAGTGGGTTTTGGCCAGCAGAAAATTCAAAACTGGTCGACATAATAAACCGCTGCTGTTGTTGTTGTTAACCGCCCGCTCAAATAGACAAGGTGCGACCTATGCAGGATTCTGTTACCGGACAAGTATATGCCCACTAGAAATGTCAGCAGAGACTGATGTATGTAGTGTCAACGTTCTCAATTAAATATGACTGCTACGATGTAATACAGTTTTTGTTCCTGTCCACCATTTGGGACGCATACGGATCGAACTATGAAATCAAACTAGTATATTGCGGGACGGTGGAATTTCCTCTAAAACGTTGGTTCAAAGTGGAAAGCTAGGAAATTCATACTCTATTTAGCCTGTGGTATGGAAGTCTCTGTCTCCATCAGTTTTTTTATAGACGGCCTTTATGGCTCAGAATAGCAATTCGTAAAGCTGACCGAACAAAGCACTGGTCCTGATGCTTCCGACAATGACTGCAAGGTTGTACGTTAGGACTCTTAGAGTGAAACTGGTAAGACTCAGGAGGGCCAAGTGAGCAACGTAGAAAGAGCAAACTTGTGCTAGTCTATACATCTACTGAGCGAAAATGCAATTTGGGGGGTTAAGATTTGCTACAGGTACGAAAAGCATGTTCTTCGTTTTTATTGCAAGGAAGCTAGTTCGTATAGGGGAATTTGGAAGTATCTTTTTAACATAGTTTTTCGCTCGTAGTCTTTTTATTCAAGCCTGTTATTTTAAATTAAAATGTACATATTTAATGCTTAGAAAAATGATTAAAAAATTTATATAGCCATTCGTATTATTTTAGAAATATATAAACTTTTTGTAGGTAAATATATATCTATCTTAAAATAATTTGATAAATATACGATCTATGTTATATCGATGTTATTTAGGAAAGTGTCGTGATGAAATATACCGATAAGAGAAACTTAGGTGTTCGGGATAACTTGATGTCGCTCATCTTTACATCCTTGTTTAAAACTCCGTAATAAAGTACATCGTACATACAACAGGTATACTCTGCTATCGTTTAAATTTCTTTGAACACTAGTCTGTATTCAACAAAGCAACATGTAATTCGTACGACTATTAATACATATAACCTAAATATAACTTGAAGTTACTTACTTTTAGCTCCCTAAATATGCCACAGGTTAGAGGCTGGCTATCATAGTTCTATTGTAGACGGTCGTTTCACCGAACGTTCCTGATTCAACCGCCTAAGCACCGATAGAGACCGGGTCAGCCAGAAGAACCCACTTAGCCAACTTCTCCCATACCATTACAAAAATGACTGCACCAAAAAAGCCCATAACTTTTGTAGCAAGGGAGTCGCTTTCTTCGGTTTGGGCTTCGTAGTATCTAACCCTGAACGATCTAGGACATCAGCGCCAACAATGCATTTATATTTCTCTCTCTCTCTCTCTCTCCCCTTCGCGCTCTGCCAGTCTCTGACGCACGCGCGCGCACGCCTTTATGTCAGCTTCCATATTTTTCGTCAAATTTGAATAAACGATTACAATGGATGCAATTCTAGTAAACGCTGTGGTGAGAATGAGTAGAAGCCACGAACGACAGGGCGGTACGTACAAGCAGAAATGACATGGAGAAAAGTAGTTTTTCCATTTGAAACAGCTACAACGGCGCCGTCTGCAAGCAGTAACGAACTCGCTGTGAGCTTGCGGACAAAAAAAATGCCGCAATATTAGCAGAATTATTAAACCGAGTGTGACTGGACATGAACGAAGTGTATTTTGTCGTAGTACCAACGACACGAGCGTCAAATGAAATTCAATTTCACTTTTTCCACGCCCCAACGGGATGAGTTCATATGATCAGGTTTAACAACTACATAGAGAATTTCCGTAGCTGGCACTTTAATGAGTCACAATTTATTTAGAGGTTTATACAGTGAGAAGTGTATCCGTTTGTCAAGCAAACATAGATGCTCCTTGAACGAAAGCTGATAAAATTACTTCTGTGAATTCGGCACACCCTTTTGTTGCAGACAAAAACCGCGGACAAGAGACAACAAGGTGAGAACGGCTAATGAACGCAAATATTTGTCTAGGAAGCTGGAAGCACACCTTCAAGGTCTCTTACTGAAACTATTATATGATAGATACAATGACGTTTTGCTAGTTAAAGAAAATCATTAACTTCATTTAGTTATTGTGGACAGTGGGATTTGACGAATGTTTCTATTTTAAGCGAACGCGCTAAGCGATGAGTTCTCCGACTGTAAGCTGCATGGACATGACATTATCTAACGAACGCCCTGGTCCTGATTTTGCCTCGCTGTAGATAAATTTATTTTTAAAGGCTTCGTTAATATAATTTAAAGGTTTACCGCTCTTTTAGGACTTCCACTGCAGCTGGTGTATTTCTTTCATATAGTTTTCCACATCAGCGTTGCTAGGTTCACGAACCGAACTAGAAACGAATTTTTTTGAGTATTTTTTTCGCTGTATCGTGTTAACTGGCTGTTAGTTTACCAGATTTTACCAGACCGGAAGGTATTGAAATCGAGCCTGATGAAATTCAAATGTTAAACTAAAGATGAAATGTAGATTTAGTATGGAGTGCGAAAGCCTTGGACATCGCGGCCCACTTCGTATGTATGAAAAATATGACATCAGATGATTTATAAATGATTAGTATTCCTTCGAACAGGCGCTCCTCGGCCAGCAATAGGCCACATATGTTCTCCTTTGCAAGCCTAAAGTTCGAAGCTACCCTGTCCTGGGATATATATATTACCGGTCGAGCGAATACAGTAAGTACACAAGACGTATAGCAAGGGACTTAAGTTCGGACCACTTGAAGAGATCAAAGATCAATACGTTTACCCGCAGGCGAATATTGGCACATTGAATATTATTGTTTAAGTAATATTTGCCTCAGCCACTGCTTTCTAGTGTCTTGACCACTGATAGCTGAATAGCGCGGGGGTAGCTCTCTGTGAAGGTTTCACTTGAGTCACACAATTCGAACATTAGAGTTTCTGCTTCAAAGAGGCCCATTAATCTAAGCGTCTAAAACCTTAGTAGTTCTTTTCGTCGTGGGAGACGAACTGCTGGAACAATTCAAGATTTACCTCTTTGGGTATTTTCCTTTTCGATGAAGAAGCTCTCTAGCATTTATGCAGATGGTTATTACTAGAAGGTGAAGTGGAAAAAAATTCATAGGATTGATTTGACCATTTAGTAATTACGATTCATAGTTTTATGTCAACTTGCAGGATAGCTGATTCACTCAGGCAACGAAATAGCAGCTCGAATACTCTATACAACTGTGAAGTCATAAAGTGTATAGTAAAGTAAAGTAAAAAAAAGTCATCCTGTACGTTTTCTGTGACACTACTGAGTACTAATGAAACGTACAGAAATTGAAGTACACACGCTAATTATTTGTTAATTAATGAAGTGCAGGAGTGGACCTTTAAATAAACGATGATCGAACGACCAAGTTGCTCCGACGAGAAAATTTTCGCAGCGTTTTGAGCACGAACTATATAATATACAACTTTTAATGGTGTCGCTATATTGATATTAAATGTAATATTAGTGTACCCTGGAAACCGCCGCAATAGATACAGAACAACTATATATGAAAATGGCGTTCTTCGAGTAGCTTAAGCAAGAGGAAGGGCGGGCAAGGTCCTAACTCAACAAGATGAAGATAATGATGTGAGGTCTGTGTTTCTATTATAAAAGCAACTTTGAATAGATAAGATGACGAGGCACATAAGTATTTAGTGTAGCCTGTCTGTATTTAGAATTGAATATAGAACGGGTAACAAATTCCCCAAGAATGAAGATAAGCAAATGGGTGAAGATCGAAAATTGTTTTTTTGAAGGCCCCACTACGATTGAGTCGAAATAAAAAAATTAGTTCGGCCAAAACACCTAAACAATGATCTGTGTGTTTCAGCAACAAAAATAAAATGAGATTTTTTTGAGGTGAGTGTCTTTGCTTCAGAATAGCATGCCAATCTTGACAAAAGAAAACGCTCTTTAGTAGTTCTTACTTATTGATTATTGTCTATAGTAAATAGCATGTTCCAAGCACATTTTACTTGACCGGGCTAAAGCTAATTTGCCCCTATGTCAGCCTGATATATTCGAGGTATTTTCCCATAAGCTATCACGAACGTGCGGATTACCTGGATGTCTTCATTCAAGGGTATAACTCCCTGTAACTGGGCAGGAAATCAGTATGGACAATCTGGTAGCAGCCGCAATACCAGAAACCACCGCCGCCTTAAGGCACCTACTTTCCTTACGATGCATTCGTCTGCCAGCCAGGCTCTACGTCGAGCGATGGAAACTAGAAACCCTGAAAATGCTCCCGAACGAGATATCCTATACGTAGTAGCAGAAAATTTCTGCTCTCGCGGGATAAGAGTAGGTCAACAGTGGCTACTTTATCCTTGGATTGAACTGATGATTTTGCGGTACAAAGCGAAATTTCGACTTAACGGGAATTGAGAGCCGGCACTAAACGTCTATCGAGCTGATTACTAGAAACGTTTTACACACGAGTAAAAGCGATTTTGTTCATTTCTAATTAACCCGAATGTACCGTTTTTAATTCTTTTTTATAATAATAATTTTATTTGGGCATTTAGTCATGCTCCCTTTATTCTTTTCTGTTTTCACAATTTTCACCTTAATATTCCGTGACAAGACAGGAAAATTTATTTATAGGGCCAAATAGTAACAAATGTTCATTGAGCATATTTGTACCATCGCAAGCTCCAGTACATTCTGTGTATAATATCGTGTATGTTTGTTGCTGACTTAAGCTATCCGGACTCGCAGTTAAAATGTGGATCCATTCATTTATGGGGATTCAATCTGCCGCGTCCGAATTTACAGACTGACGCGAGTCGACAAGCCTTCACCTCGAACATTGAGCCCCGCTCTTCACGCATGCTAATCCTAGAAGTTATTCTAGTCTATTGCTTTTCCCTATATGCCGATACGGTTGATCACTCTACATGATCACGGCATCAGCTACCACATACTTTTTTTTTTTAGAAAAATTGTCATAATTGAAGCAGGTGAGGTTCTAATTCATTTAAGATTATCACTGTTTCTCTTCAGCCTACAGAAAACCCGTTTTGCCTCATTTGTTCAGGTCTTTCCATCGTTCGTCCAATATACAACAGACGCTCTTCTACTTGATCAGGTCAATTGATTGCCAAAACAACAAAGCTTCTTGAACCTTTACTAGGTCAACGTTAGGAAGATTCCAATTGACAAGTGAATGGATTTAATGTTGATTTAATTCCATCCGGTCAGCCCCCGAATACCTATGTCGGAATGGCAAGACGTTCGCGGTAGGTTTTTTCTCCAACGAAACGACCTAACCATTTACGGTTTTGAAAAAAGTATGACTACATTCAATACAGCCGTGGAAGTAACTACGTCAAAAGTAGCGATTATGTCTTTTATGGCTACTACGACGCCATAGTTGTACACGATGACACAAATCACCAAATGTGGTCTGTTTTTTCCGCATGTTGCTATCTATGACCAATCTTTTTACTCTGATTTCACCTACAAGCCCATTTTGTCTCAGCTATAAGCTTACATTTGCTGAAACTGCATACTTTATCCGTCTCGTTCCGCGTACCGGTGTATACGTAGAGTAACACAAACGAGCCTATGCATGTTATTACATATGGCCCAGCTAATAGATCCAGCAAAGCGTCGTCATAAGGCAAAATAATCTCAAGTATAATTTGACCACCGGAAGAGACAGGTCACTTCCGTTCAGGATGAGAGAGTGCTAACTGAAGAAGTTACGTACATTGCTCTAAAAGGGAAATAGCAAAATTGAAGGAGAATCGTAGGTCTACTTGGCCTCTTGGGCTCGTGCCAATACGACCCATCACCGCATTATTGAAGCAGCAGGGGATGTGAGCCCCGTAGGTACATTAATACAAGATAGGACGTACTGAGGTACATAGATGAAGTCAAATGTTTTCCTCTAGAAATGCGTGCTAAAAATAGTAGTTTTTCGCAGAGAACTTAGTTTTAACAATTTAGTGTTCTATAGATTTGGTGCGCATAGGCTAGATGCTGCGTATAGATACTTTTGACCTAGAAGCAATGATGTGTAGAATGACAATAAACAGGCAAACGTAAGTACTATACAATAGTAAAGGCCATTGTATAAATTCAACGTTAAAAAAATAAATAGAAACTGTATGCTGTACAGGTCACTCTGTTTCTCTCTAACAAGCGATGGTAGTTTTTCGAACTTTAAGAACTTTTGAAATGTATACGGGTCACAGTTGTGGTGCAATACGTGTTACTGGATTTTTTGTCGTTGTTGTTAGCAATGTGTTACATATGGTCATTTTTGAAAGAAATGTTGATTATTTCATTAGAATAAGGCGTCGTTCGGGTAAAAGAATGATGCCGATATATGTGCCATATTGCGTATAGTCATGACCGTAGACCAGCATTTACCATGGAGGATTGTGGTATCAAGTGGTGCGTCTAAATAGAACTGTTTCTCTGGCTTGTTTCTAAGACCGTATCTTAACGAACATGGACATTTCAATGAAATATTTTGAAAATGCTTGACATACCATTGCTAATGATTATCGTTATTTAGTATAAATACTTTTCACAAAGCTGACAGCTTAAATTCGGGTCCAAAAGCACTGACTAGTAGTATTCAATTTAATCCGAAAATAAATCGATAGTAGGTCAAAATTCACCAGGGTGTCGCTTATGTACGCCTTACTCGAAAAATTGTAGCGTAATTAGATTTTGGGCCGATAACAAACTGAAAATGTGAAGGGCCAGAATGGCCAGGAAGTGCAAAAGATGCAGAAAAACACGAAAGGTCTCAAAACGATCAACTGTTGGAGCTGATCCATACGACCCAATTGCCAGTTAATATTCTCCTTTCTAAAACGGCCATATTAAAAATGTTTTCCTTTTAACCAGTTTGCTTAATCTTGAAGCCTTTTATATCTAAAACCTACTAAGGATCTTCCGGTTTGTTTCATGGAAGTCCTTTCAAGGTTTGTCAGAGATCGCATGAGAACTAGCAATAACATAAAGCATCAACTTCAATCAAAAATGCTTTGGCTTTTTAATCTTTATGGGGATTCCCTTACTACAGACTGAATTTTACCTGATCCTCGCTCAAGTTCTGAAAACAATGCACTGCCGTTCGCTATGATGTGTACGTTGATTTGTTTTAGAAAGAACCGGCTTTCGTCTGGTAATGCCTGCTCGTAGCCCACCAGAGTCTTTCTCAATTTGAACGCATTACTACTCGTGTACAAGGATCATGTTGTGGTTATATAAGAACAGTGCGTACGTCATTACTTTGGGCCCCGCCGTTCGCAATCTCATCATTCATAGGTATATATATATATATATATATATACTGAAAAAATTGTTTACGATTTTGTTGTTTATACATATTTGTATCAGTACTGGTGTTGCTGCGTCGGTAGATAGCAACGCACTTAATCTATGGCTATGAATAGGGCTAATCAACAACCTTCAAAAAGAACAATTCTATGCTTGTGTATTGTTTACAGCCGCATTTATTGTCCGAGACAATAAATTTTTTTTATTTACTAGAGGCCACTCTGCGTAGCAATGGCAGGCGATCATTTTTACATTTGCAAATTTAGTAATGAATTGTATACCGTTCCCTGTTTATCCGCTGAACCCTTTAGCATAGCTGGAAAGGTACAATCACTTTTTTTTATTTTCTGTGAAGAAAGTCACTCCATTCCAAAGATCATCAAGGACAATTATTACGTATATGATTATAATACTTACGGGATGCATATAGCACGGTGGATAGCAGCTTTAATTTTCAAATACTACGCGTCGTCCGCGAATATTCACAGAATTTCCAGACGAACTCCAGTGTGCAAAAATCTACGTTCGTGATCCAATGCATTACTGGCACCCAATGATGCTATCTACAATGTACAGATCGCCGTCGATCACCCCCCAGAGAAACAATGGCTTGGAAAATCTATTATTTAAATTAGCCCAATTGATGCATGAATCGCTGGTACGTTTACTTCAATACTTTTGTGTTTCTATGTGACTTCAGTGTTTCTTGTTGAAATTTTTGTTTATCAGAACCCTCCAAATAAGATGCATAGAAACTTTTCGACTACGATTTACTAGGTAAATATCTTATTATTATTATTGTTATAACAATAGTTTTTACTACTGCTATTATTCACTACAGATATACTACAGTATACGACTAACATCTACCCTATTCCCTTCTTCATCATGGATTTAAAGATAATATTGGTAAAGTGTATTTTTTTAATCAAACATTGCTCGTGGAAGGGTTGTAGTGTCATGCCAAGAACCAGCCATCTGATGCAGTGGTTAACGGCGCTTAAATGAAAGACTCGAACCATCTAATTAGTCCAACACTTTTGAATTACCGATTTTGTGTAAGTTAATTAAAACACTTTAGAATTCACTAAGCTACAGCTCGAAGATCCTAGAAAGCCATTGTTTGGTTTGCCTAAACCTTAGCTTTCCCGTACCCTTGAGGAAAGCGATTGAACTGTATTAGACCATAAGAACGTGGCGACCACGATAAGTCACCGTTCTTCGAAATCAATTATTCGACAAGGTTAAATTTCTTCGGGTTTTATGGTCTGTTTAAAGCCATAGTTGAATAAGTTACACTTTGTGCAGACCGTTGCGAAGGGGCAAATTCAGCATCAGCTAAATACGTAAAAGGCGTTAACCCTTATGCATGACGCCACACCAAAGCGTCCGGCCCTTCATTGACACATCCCGAACAACTTCGATATTTTCCTCCGTTCAAGCAGTTTACAGCGGTCCTTGATGTTGTTTGCCATGAAGCGAATAGGGTTGTTGGGATCTTTTCTCAAATGACCTCTGATGCTCCGAAGGCGTAAACTTTACCCCAAACTACATACGAAACACTCGAGACGTTTTGGCGCCTAATCGGTTGTTGCCGGAAATTACTCCTATGAATGCAGTTCATTCGATATGGGTATTCCAGACAGTCCTTAAATAGATTTCGTGTGAAGCTCAGAAGGACCGACAGGACAGCGGCCACTGACACCCTGCGTTTGGCCATGTCACCTCTCGCTTATGTCAAGCGGTCTTTGTACTTTCGCACCGTATAGAATACGCGGCATTCAAGAAAATTGCACAGCGGCGAAACTCAAACAATTAAATAGAATCAAAGTCTCAAGAAAGTACTGGAATTACATTTAACGACCCCTAGATCGTCTCGTGTGTTTCCTAACCGACTCACTGCTGCTGTCTAGGGATTTGCGTCACCGCTCTCAGCTCTAAGCAACACGAGTCGTCAGAATCAATCCTGGTACCCTGGAACGAAAATTCGCAGAGGTCGATGGATGTTTCTTCGGCTCAGGTATGACCAAAACAGCGAATGAAACGAAACGAATCGACTAAATCGACATGTCGTGATTCATTTCGCCATCCATGGCTTCCACCGTCGACTCTGCAAGGAACCAGGTTTCCTTAGCCTGACGATAGGTGTAGCCGGTCTAAATGCGGAGACAACTGCAATAAATATAATGCCCTTTTTGTTCTCTGGTGACCTTTTACTACATTTGGCAAACTGCTCATTGTCATCAATTGAAGTTGTATTATGTAAATTATATGACGCACTCTGGCCTTGTGATGTATATATATATATGATAGCACATCACAAGATAGACTTATAATAGACAGAGATTCTTTCAAAAAGAATAATTTTAGATAGCTAAATTATCCTAAAACGGATATGATGTGATACATCAAGCAAGTTATAAAAACTTCGTACGAGGATTCCTGAAAAAAGGCGGCAGAGCAAATCTAAATGTATTCGACCCTACTGGCCTAAATTGTAACCTAAGATTGTCTAATAGATGCCAAGAAGGTGTTTGTTACGTGATGAAATTTCAAGCCGCCTTATGTAGGGCATTTCATGCTTACATGAGTAATATTGTGTACACCACCATATCGCAATAGCGTATAGAGTTCTTTCTTTAAGACCTCAGGATACGCTTTCTGTTTCGGTGACAAAATCCCGATAGTCCTATTCTGCACGGATGCAAACTAGACACGTTTTCAGACGAACAATGTTTATCGCATACAGCTTTTAAGTGAAAAAAAAGCATAATCCTGAACCAGCTAGACAAAGCAACTCGATGATCTTTAGTGATTAAAATTAATAAACTTTTATAACGCTGGATAATCGTATCGAGGTTGATGTCTATGTATTTGGAATAGGGACAGGATCAATGTAAATATATACAGTAGACTTACCCTTTTTAAAAGAGAACAAATAGCAGTGTTTCGCAGTACTCTCAAGAGCGTCATGATGAAAACTCAACAATAAGTTTGCTCAATCTCTTGTTGCTCAAGTTATATATATGGTATCGCAAGTAGCCATGCGAAGTAAACGTCAAACCTAGATTCGCTTTCACCCTTCAAAGGAGATGGCCTCTGTGAACTGGACTGCAAAATGGCTCGAAAGCCGACCGCATTGGCTCGAAACGCGGCAAAAAAAAAAAAAGAAATTCGACTTATGAAAGAAAGCACTACGATCTATCTAAAATTTGAAGAAGTGCTTTGTGACAGACCAACATAAGGTCGAAATTAATAATAAACAAACAGTCATCTTTGCGCGTAACATGTTCGATGCGCCAATATGTTAAATGATTTGGCTTACAAATGAGAGTTGGGATAAAAAGGCATTCCCAGCAGAAAATCAATGTATCCTGAATGCTTGTGGCTAGTTGTGTCATTGAAATTTTCTTTACACAGATTTATAGACTAGATACTTTACTTAACCAGTCGAACTTTTAAGCAGTGCTTTGTGTGCAATTTACAAAAAGTTTTAGCACACTAAATTAGTCGGAGAGCTTATGGCAAATGAATAAAGTAATGCCTTGACATGCTGACGAGAGGATGAAAAAGATATCGAATAGAAACCCGCAAAAACGCCGTCCGTGTGCACATAGAAATAATTACAATATAATAAGGGAGTACAAAAAATATAATGTATATATATAATATAAATAATGCTACACAGACAAATTCAATAAGATAGATTTAATACAGCTCACAGCTGAGATACAACTTACCAATATTATATTCCAGTCTGAAAGGGAACTGTGCATAGGTTCCAGTACTGTGTATAGCTGAAGACGGAGCTCTCTGGGAGTGTCTTAATGACGAAGCGACACGCCTGCAAACGGAAACTACACCGATTTTCGTCTGAATTTGACGAGCTTAGTACTTTAATATGTTATTGTTGATAAAAATATCCTGCTACTTGTCGTACTCATATAGAAGACCTCAATAAACATTCCGTTCTCACCAAAAAAAACTCGGCCTTATTTATGAATTCGTAGGTATATGGATCTGAATAATCTAGAAAAAGCAAGACAGACTCTGCTCCGCTTTGGTTGTTTCACCTGACAAGAAATTTCGCCCAAAACATTGATTGAGAACCCATTGGCCTATTTCAAACTGCTCAATATGTCAAGTGGCCAAGGTTCATGTATATATAATGATCCTAGATAATCGCGGACAGTCTTGAAGACGACAGGACAGTTTTCGGCCATTATTTTTGAGTAGACTGGACTTCACGAGGAAGAGCTTTTGACTGGAGAGCTCATGTCTGGGAACAGTCGTTTTCGGAGCGATAGACCATTTCCCTAGAATAGTATCGATTTGGTGTGTGAGCCTGAACTGGTAAGAACCAGGCCGAGGCTATGCTCCTATTAAACATAATCAAATAGATAGATATTCATTTCGAGGCTAGCCTATCGTAAGCTTCTTAAATCTCTGTTCCTAAATAAGTGCTCTCAATTTTCTTCCTATGATGCGGACAGGGGTTTTTCGCCTGCTATTTAGTAGATTAAGCTGTTCGGAGATAAATAATAGCCACTATAACAATTAATTAAAGCTCATGTATCAACTCGAATGAAGCTCAGGTACAACTCTTTATAGAAATGATAGCTTGCAAAAAGGTATGCTTATAAATCTTTTCAAGTTTGCACAGACCTCAGTGTATGATAGGCGATTTATGATACGAGCAATACTAATACTTGATATTTGAATCTGGTTTGAACTTCATGTTTATCATACGCAAGTGATACAGGCTTCTTACCATAGGTGTTTTTCAATTTTTGTGAAAAAGTACACATATTTCTCAACGTTTCAGTATCATTTTAGGTTAGGTAACTTTGCTTCATAGGATTTGGCTAGGAACGAGCAAACTTCACGAAGTAGAGTTTTAGCTGATTACAGAATTTTTCTTTCGTGACAAAGTATCGAGTCCATTTGCAAACCGGTGAAAGTTGGACTCACAAAAGAACTCATGACCGAATAGCATAAGCAAACGTAACGTATAAATGTTAGGAGATTACACGGATCATCTCCGGCATTCGCTTGACAAGTAGTGCCGATTAACGAATACTTCTATTATAAAAGCAGCCAGTGAGCAGAAGAACGATCTGTTCGAGTACTGAATGGAAACCCCTGCCATGCTAATGGTATATTTATCTTCCTTATACAGGAACAGAGGAGGATGAGTGAAGATCGGCAACATCAAAGTGGGAAAATCACAAGCAAATTTAGTTCGAGCTTGATGTTTAAAAGTCAAGAAATGGCACTTTTCAGTCGGATTGCATACATATGGTGCTCGGTGAATCTAACAAAAAGTACTGTCTCACATTTATCATTAATTTCAGTTAACAAAGAAGATATTCTTCAGATTTTTTAACTTAATGTCATTAGTGATTTTTTTTTATTTAGTCATTTGCGAACAAAGCTCGAATGGCTTTAGGAAAATATCCGGAGTATAGGCCAGTAAGCTCCTTTCTACACAAGATTTGGGTATACAAGTAACCCCTACATCGTTACGAGCCCTGAACCCTAAGCAGCGTCGGTTGTGAGAGGTTTAAGTTCCGTAGAAAAAATCTACAATAAACAATGAAGCCGGCTCCGACGAGATGTTAAAGGAGGTGTGTGTCAAACAGGGATAATCAACGTAAATTTAATCAACCACATTCTAAAACTTAAATGCTAAAGCTCCAGATAGGCACAGCTTTTAATCTAAAGCAAAATCCTTTGACAAGTGTAGAATCTTATTAAAATTTTGTTTAAACCTCGTTAAATTTTGTCAAAAAATCATGTTTAAACCTTATAATTTGGATGTGTGAATGCGCAGAAGAGATTAAAACACTACATTATATGTTATAAAAAGGTTTCTTTTTTTTAGCAAAAGGCTGTTTTTGTCCTTTATATCAAAGTCACATTATTTACTGAATAAAGACGTCGGGATAAGTGGCCACCTGTTCTTGGGCTGAACCCTAGAAAGGGTTCACCCGATGCCCCTGGTGAACCCTTTCTAGGACCTCCTGAAAGTAAAAGTTTCAGGCCCACGAGTATTTAATTAGCCGATAGGGAGAATGTAAAAAAAAAACCTGGAGTTTTGCATATGTTGGTGACTACAATTTTACCTGACATAAAAGGGCAAACTTACCTTAATTATATATTATAGCCGCCAGAAAACCTCGGCTCTATTTGTTCGTTTCTACCCTGCAAGTAGATCAGAGATAATTCACGAACAGATGGAAAACTGTAAGCAAATAAATTAGGTATGCGAAACTCTCGCTTGTTGATTGTGATTCGGCATAATGTTGTTGATACACGTACAAACACAGGCGTATAGAAATAGGGTGTTGAGTTCGATTGGAACCCGAGTTTCTGTTTTCTGCTTAATAATGGACTAATCGTACTGCAATCGTACGCAAAAATTCGTCACAATCCGTAGTGTTCTAGTCTAAATATTACTGAAACGGGACTCTATTCGAATTATTAATATTTTTTTTGTTAAAATTCACTGTTTAGTTGAACTCTCTTTGTTCGGTACGGTGGCTAATTTGAGTTAGTTTTGCATAGAATGTTTGAACAGGATGCACGTCAACGTGCACGGCAAACAGGAACTGATTGATAAAACTGGGCACGACTTAATCTACGGGGTATACTCTACACTTTAGTGGGTGCACTCCATAGCTAGCCTCATTAGGCCATCGGCTTTACGGGAGAATGCAAGCGCGGGTTTATATTCCCTCTTTTTTTTGCTTGCTTGAAGCATACACCAAGGCTAAAGGGTTCTTTTTTCTCTTCTTCGTTGTAATTTAAAGCAAGTCTCGTAAAAGACGTATCTTCAATCGTTCATGCGTAACTCTTTATAAACATTTTATTAATTTCTAGGCTTTTACGTATGGTAAGGGTGTTTCGAAGATTCGTGAGGAAGTAGGTGCGATCCAGGAATAAAACTATTTATACAATGGCAGAGATTTCTCAATATAGTCTGCCTTTTTCATATCGATTCACAGACGACCCTACGCTCATGACAGAAGTATATTGCATTTAATGATCGAACATGTTACACATGTATATCCAAAGACACCTATTGTTAGATTAAGTGTGCATCTTCCGTGCGGGCGATCTTCTGGGTAGCCTTGATCGCTACGCTCGAGGGCCACTTGCAACAGCCATGTTCAATTGTTCTTCGAACCTTATTTGTTAACATCAAACACACACGTTTGAACCTTTCTTTGTCCTTGAGCATAGTAAGGATGGCGAAGTTGTATGCAAAAAAAATCACTGCTTTATTGCAGACATAGAATCTAATCCATTATCCATCGCACGATGGATATTGACACAAAAAAGTCACGAAGGTAACTTCACGCGAACCGCACATATATAACTGAACCTGCAATATTGTTTGTGCTTCGTCAGTATCTTTTAGAAACACTTCATCAGTATGGGTTATGACGGATCTCTTTAGAGGCCTACGATTTGTGATACAAAGCTCGCTAAGTATACGCAATTTAGCTATTTTTTTTTCCGATAAAAACTTCGATAACATTTGTGACAGACGACAAGTTCTAATTTGGAATGCTTCACTTCGTCGGAATCCATTAGTCGCCGAGGGTTGAAAGCAAATATACTTTTTTAATATCTGTAAATGCGTCGAGCCATCACTGCTTCTGAATTTACAGTTGAAGCTTAAGCACAGAGCAGCATCGGAGAACAACCTGTAGAAAACACTCTAGCGTTTTACTTTAACGAAAATATTCTCACGAAAGCCTAAACAAATACGTGTTAATTATACATATATTATAAACTTGCGAGGGACTTGATTTTTCATTTCCAATAGCTCTGGCAGAATAATGATTTCAAAATACGGACGATTTCAGTGAATTGGCGTTGTTTTCAGCGTCTGTTCATCGACGACTTTTCTGCATAGATACGATTTATAAAATTAATTTTTGTGAAACGACGCGCTATTTGATCGGATGAGACCCCAAAACTATTGTCCATCCTTGACAAAACAGAGAATAGCCTATAGCGGTTCGAGAAATCGAAGAAGCGTTGAGAAAGCCGAGCGTGGTCTGTGGCAGTCAAATTTGCAGTTAGGGTATACAGCTTGAGAACTGGTTGGTCTGCAAGTCACGTTTCTTTTGCGGAAAGAGCGTCCTTTTTCGCTCTCCTCGATTTGTTAGGTTCAAGATAGCGGGACGATTTACACACTGCTGGAAACAACGCTAACAATCTTTTGTTGCTATAGATTTAATATAAAACCTGCAAAAGAAACAGTAAAATAGACCATTTTGTCCGTGGCTTGTAATAATCTTGATCTTATGAGTGGGTCATCGGTAGGTTATCTATGGTACCATGAATTTGGCGAAATTCAGTCATTTCAATTGGTGCTAACTCAGACTATCAATCGAATACATGCCCGTTCTATGTCATCTAACCCGTGACCTTTGTGAAAACTTTACCAGTTTCAGTTTGTACAACAGCGTTCAGTCGTCGTTTTAGCATTGCGAGTACAGGTCTAGGGTTCAATTAAACTCGATCCATTGGCAACAATGCGTTCAGAACGTGACTCTTCAAACGTGGACCCGATCCACACAACCAACGCTAGGTCCCGCTATAAACGAGGGTCTTGTCGAGAGAGAGTTTTTACGTCCTTCACACACAGGTGAAACTTATAATTACAACATTAGTTTCCGTCGTATCCTTTTGTTACTGCATATAAAGGAAAACACCGCCCATCGGGACGACATCTTATCGAAGTTACTAGAATGAGCCTCGCCTAGAGACGAGCATTGCTACTAAGGTATGCTGGAACTACTACTGATTTACTGGTATGAACTTTTATTTATCGCCT